TTCAATCTATAACAGTGAAAAAAGTGTTTTGTTTTTTTTAAATACAAGCTTTGTGTCACCAGATCTAAGTGGTGTCACTGGTCACCGTATCCACTGTTAGCGTAACACACCCGCTTTAAGGACACTGACTGCTATTCAATCTATAACAGTGAAAAAAGTGGGGTTTTTTTAAATCCAAAGCTATTGTGACACCAGATCTAAGTGGTGGCACTGGTCACCGTATCCACTGTAAGCGTAACACACCCGCTTTAAGGACACTGACTGCTATTCAATCTATAACAGTGAAAAAAGTGTTTTTTGTTTTTAAATACAAGCTTTGTGTCACCAGATTAAGTGGTGGCACTGGTCACCGTATCCACTGTTAGCGTAACACACCCGCTTTAAGGACACTGACTGCTATTCAATCTATAACAGTGAAAAAAGTGGTTTTTTTTTTAAATCCAAGCTATTGTCACCAGATCTAAGTGGTGGCACTGGTCACCTCATCCACTGTTAGCGTAACACACCCGCTTTAAGGACACTGACTGCTATTCAATCTATAACAGTAAAAAAAGTTTTTTGTTTTTAAATCCAAGCTATTGTGACACCAGATCTAATTAGTGGCACTTGTCAGCGTATCCACTGTTAGCGTAACACACCCGCTTTCAGGACACTGACTGCTATTCAATCTATAACAGTGAAAAAAGTTTTTTGTTTTTAAATCCAAGCTTTGTGTCACCAGATCTAGGTGGTGGCACTGGTCACCGTATCAACTGTTAGCGTAACACACCCGCTTTAAGGACACTGACTGCTATTCAATCTATAACAGTAAAAAAAGTTTTTTGTTTTTAAATCCAAGCTATTGTGACACCAGATGTAATTGGTGGCACTGACTGGGAAAATGGGCACAGTATGCACTGTGAGCCGACACAGAACTGCAGCAGTGGCAGACAACTGACTGCTATTCAATCTATAACAGTGAAAAAAGTTTTTTGTTTTTAAATCCAAGCTATTGTGACACCAGATATAAGTGGTGGCACTGACTGGGGAAATGGGCACAGTATGCACTGTAGCCTGACACAGAAGTTGGCAGCAGTGGCAGACAACTGACTGCTATTCAATCTATAACAGTGAAAAAAGTTTTTTGTTTTTAAATCAAGCTATTGTGACACCAGATATAAGTGGTGGCACTGACTGGGGAAATGGGCACAGTATCCACTGTGAGCCTGACACAGAAGCTGGCAGCAGTGGCAGACAACTAAGTGCAATTACATTACATAGAAAAAAAAAAATTAAAAAAAGCATACCCTTATCCCTAACCTAGCTATGCTTTTCCCTATCTTATGAACAGCAGCTACACTTTCCCTCCTCTTACTAAGCATGCAGCTTGAGAATGAATCTAAAATGGATGCTGTCCAGTAGGTGGGAGGGTCTGCTAGGGAGGGTGTGCTGCTAATTGGCTGGAATGTGTCTGCTGACTGTGAGGTACAGGGTCAAAGTTTACTCAATGATGACTAATAGGGGGCGGGTCGAACCGCGCATATGTTCGCCCGCCGTGGCGAACGCGAACATGCTATGTTCGCCAGGAACCGTTCGCCATCGAACCGTTCGGTACATCACTAATGGGGACCCTGAGTCACTAGGGACACTGAGACATGGGGACACAGACACTGGGAGACACAGTAAGACATGGGTACACTGAGAGACCTGAGGACACTGAGACACTTGGGGATACTGGGAGCCATGGAGATACTGAGACACTAGGGACACAGGCTGGGGGACATGGGGACACAGCACTGTGTCCCTAGTTTCTCCATTTCCCATGTCTCAGTGTCTCCCAATGTCCCTATGTCTCACAGTGTCCCCAAGTGTCTCAGTGTCCCCATGTCTCACAGTGTCCCCTAGTGTCTCAGTGTCCCCATGTTTTCCAGTGTCCCCAAGTGTCTGTGTCCTCAGGTCTCGTCGTATCTGTGTCCCCATGTGTCCTCCAGTGTCTCCGTGTCCCCATGTCTCCCTGCTTCCTTTCCCCTATCCCTCACTTACCTGACCTGTAGATCTGCTGTCTGGATTCTCTGTGCTGTGTAACTGCTCCCCCACAGATTAGTGAGTAATACAGAGAGGCAGGGGGGGATATGCTGTAACTTCCTATAACTGCCTCTCTCCACACACAGTGACCTCTACAGGCGGTGGTGGTATTGCAGAGTAATCTCTGTTTATACTGAGAAAAATACCTGCATTTGTATTGCCGGTATTACTGGCATGGCAAGGCAGCCTCAAATACTGGCTGTGCCAGTAAAATACCAGTCAGGTGGGTGAAATACCAGTCAGGTGGCAAACCTAAGAGTAGTGTGTAAAAAAAAAAAATGGGCCTATTCCATGGGTCTAGGCCTGGGCCTGGAGCTGCAGCTCCATCAGCCCCTATGTTAATCCGGCCCTGGTAATACCCAAGGAGGAATCACTACATTAACTGAAAGTCATACTTTCATTTAGTTTTTCAAATCACTTCATGTTAAAGGACCACTTGCAAACCTTAAAGCAATATATCTTGCTGAAATGCCTTAGGTGTTAAAATTTGTTTAATTTTATAAACAATTTCAATATAATATATTGATTCATGAGATTCCATGCATCTATCTAAGTCGATACAATATTGTAATGAATCACAGATACACACACACCCAATAGGAACTGTATATACTGGTTAAAATGTATACAACTGCAAATTGCACTTGAGTAATACACATGGGTTACAAAAAAAGTCAACATTTAAGAAAAATAAATTAAATAAAAAAGAAAATAAATAAATAATATTATACAAAATATGGAAAAAAAATAAATATAAAGATAGTAATTTAAAGAAATGTAGTATTTCCATACAAATAGTAACAAAATGTTTGATAACAGAAACATGATCGACTTTTCTTTGACGTGATACAAGAGAGATGAAAAAATGTATGATGTAGAACCCAATATGTTCTTCTATATTTATGCATTCAAATATCAAGGTAACTAATATGTCCCTGAGTTCTTATGCTCAGATGTCCTAGGCTGTAATTTATAATGGGGATGTAGATCATCATGGCCAAAGGAAGTTGTTAAACAGTAAATCAGAGAGCCCCAGAAAGTGAGAAAACAGCACAATTATAATTAATCTTATAAGAGGTAGTAAAATAGATAATAATTAAAATCAATTTCTAAGGTGCATAAAACAGGAGGCAAATGTATGACATTATATGCTAGGAAAAGAAATCTCTAAATGCTAACATATATATATATATATATATATATATATATATATAAATTTATATATATATATATACATTGCTAATATATATATATACAATATATAGTTAATACATTGCTAAACACAAATACATACACCAGTCAAGCCATAAGACTTGCTTTTTCCACAGAAATCTTACTTTAACAGCTCTCACTACTACAAGGGATTCTGGGTAGGAGTATGCAAATGAACTCAACAAAGAACCACTTTTTTGCCTCATAATTCCACTTTATACATGGATTCCTTGGAGTATGTGTCTGCTGTATACAACAGCTTTGAAACACAACTCAGGAAGAGGAGAAAAGTCGGTGAACCACTAATGGACAGCTGTTTCGTTGTTAATGCAACTCTTAAGCATAAGGTTGGTTACTGGCCCATCTACTCTGCCCAATTTTTTAAATACTTTTAATTTGTCCCTGGCCTTATCTTAAGTCTAGGATATCCTTATACCTATCCCACCTATGCTTAAACTCCCTCACTGTGTTAACCTCTACCACTTCAGCTGGAAGGCTATTCCATGCGTCCACTACCCTCTCTGTAAAGTAATACTTCCTGAGCGGTGGTTCTGAATTCTTTCCCTTAACGGGAGATCAGTCTTGTCCACGTAGGCCAATCCGCAAGGGCACATCAATTTGTATACCACAAAATCCGTGGTGCAGGTTAGTTAGAGTAGGGAAGTGAATCTTTCAAGTGTCGTGGGTGAAAAACAGGAGGTCAAGAACGACTACATGGAGCATAGGGTATACAAGTGGCTAAGTGGCCACACCGAAACTCCAAGATTCGCAATATGAAGGTGATCGTTTAGAAAACCTCGCCAGTACACTTTTAACAAAACTTCGGCAGAATCTACTTCTGAATAAGATTCCCACAAAAAAACTGACAACACAAGACCCTCAGTTTATTTTTTAGAAAGGGAACCTGCCCTCACAGGGACAAATACACGACTGAGATCCAGACAGGAGATCAAGCGAAATGACATACCACTAGACGTGGACCGAGAGGCAGGGCCTTCTAGGGTAAAAAGCAAACCCCCACGATGGAGATAATACCCATCTTCAACCTCTCCTCTTGCAAGCTAACCACTGAGAGAAAATATGCTCCTGATGAAAGGATTATCATTTGTTCTGACTGCCTCTCCAGATCCCCTTATGCAAGAAGTGGAAATATTCAAATTTGGACAATCTTTTTGTCTCAAATATTTCTTCAATCAATCAGAATCAACACAAGAAAACCCAGTCCACAGATTCAAACCTAAAAGTACTCTTGATCCCTTACCAAACCAACCATCAATTAATTCATTTCTGAGATCTATTAATAATGAAACATTTAATTTGAACAATCAAAGGAAACAAAGTTCAAACATCTCTAAACAAGAGAGAACCATCATCACATCACTGGCTACAGATCACAATCTGGTCATCAGACAGGCGGATAAGGAGAGAGGCATTGTTATTCTTAACTATGAGGATTACAGACAAGAACTATTATCAAAATTGGAGGATCCAAATACGTACCTCAAACTACCTTCTGACCCCACCATCAATATAATGGGAATCATACAAGCAACCCTACAAAGAGGTCTGGATGCTTCCTACATTTAGCAAGAACTCATTACCTAATCCAGAAGAATCCTAGAATACCAGTGATATATTCTTTACCAAAGATTCACAAGAACCCTACTAAACCACCTAAAAATGATTGGAAGGGCACTAGAACCCAAAGCAAAATGGCTAGACTACCGCTACAAGGAAATGGTTGAAAACGTACCTATTTGTATAAAGGATACTCCTAGCTTATTAAAATTACTCAGAGAAATCGCATCATTGGAACCCACTACACTATTACTCACCTGTAATGTTAAGAGCATATACAGCATCATCCCACACCAGGCTGGGAGAAAAGCCATGGGAAGGATATTGACAAACTCCCTGTACTACTCAGGTCCTCCAGTAGAACTTACCCTGGAGCTTCTACAACTGCTTCTCAGTAACAACTACTTCAACTTTGAGAAGACATGGTACAAGCAGATAGCCGGAACATCTATGGGGGCAGCCATGTTCATCTTTGAGCAAGAACATATACTGACTCCTTTACAGGACAACATCTTATTCTACTGTCGATACATTAATGACATCTTGATGATTTGGAAGGGTACACTAGAATCTAGACAACAAATGTTGGAGAAAATTAATAACCTTGATACACTAGCAGGTCTAACAATGTCTGTGGACATCCAGACGGTAGACTTCCTAGATGTTTGCCTATACAAAGAGGATACAAAGATAGCATATACCTCATTCTCTAAACCTACAGATAGAAATACCCTTCTGCATGCCAACAGTTACCACCCACAACACTTGAAAGATTCACTTCCCTACTCACAAATTTTAAGAGTGATAAGGAATTATTCAAATCTGGCCAATGCATAACTTCAAATATAACAAATGTAGGAGAAATGTAAGACTAGAGGTTACAGCAACCGAGTCTTGCAACTAGCTTTAGTTAAATGCTATGATACAGTACAACAAACGATAAAGGAACACAGACAGACTCATATTTCCTACCACCTATACCACGTCATTTCAAAATTTGAAAAGAACCATTGATAGTAACTGGCACATCTTGAAAAATGATGATACACTTCCTAGACAGTTCAAACAACTTCCAATAATGTATTACCAGAGGGGTAAAAACCTCAGAGACCTGTTAGTCAAAACAGACCTACACCATTGCTTCAATGTGACACCCAAGTATCAAAATATGGGGTGCTTTAGATGTCTAGGGTGTGTAACTTGTAGCCATATGAGACAGAGTAAAACCTTCACCCACCCATACTCTGGAAAAGGTATACGATTCGACACAGACTAATCTGCACCACGGATTTTGTAGTATACAAATAGATGTGCCCTTGCGGATTAGCCTACCTGGGCAAAACTGATCCCCAGTTAAGGGAAAGATTTTGGAACCATTGTTCAAGCATTCGTATTACCTACAGAGACCATGGCTCCCAACTGCCGGTGGCCAAACACTACCTGAAGAAGAGCCACCCACTACCATCTATGAAATTCACTGCAATTGACCACATTCCTCCACCACTTAGAGGAGAGGATTGCAAAAAACTCCTCCTACAAAGAGAATTGTTTTGGATTAGGATTTTGAACACTGTTCACCCTAGAAGTTTAAACGAAAAATGCTCCTTATCTATCTTTCTATGATTTTCTATATAACACATGCACAGATAGGTACTTCACATGGATGGATAATGTACATTCTTTTTTTTTGTGCCCATACAGTTTGTGCAATATCTTAAGTATAGACTTCACTGGGTTAAGCTATCTCTGTTTGTGATCCATCCAGAACTGTCTTCTTGTACACTGCCGATTTATTTATCTATTTCTTTTTGTATGTATGTCTTCGTATTTTTATGTTTTGACTTGTATGTTTTTATGTATATATTTGTACCTTCTTTTGGAAGACAATACCTTTATGAAAGACAATACCTTTTTTGAACATTTTAAAATATAGTTAAATATGGTGATGCTTCATTGTAGTATGTAGAAGTTTTTTTTTTTTTTAACTTAAATTACTTCTATCAGACAAGCAGCACATGCTTATAGATTATAGTGGCTATTTAATGTCATCAGTTTTGTGGATGAGTCATAGGTAAAACACAGAAAAAGCATGTCTATTTCCTATACCGCCTTGAGATGGTTATGTTTCTATAAATATAATTTATTTGGTATTTTTGGGAGGGGGAGGAGTATGCATAGTTACAAAGGTTGCGATTTTGTCATGGCAAATGGTACTAACAAACAAATATAACTTTAGAAAACCCATCAAAAATATTAAGTGCCTCTGTGAGGCAGGCCAGATATAATGACCCTAAGTGTATGAGCTTCATGAGTGGGATTATCATCCATGAATGCTTAATTGTTTCAGAAACAGAGTACTTTGCACAACATTGTACCGTTGGGTATATTTTTGGACAAACATAGAATATTGACCTGTGAGTGGCTCCCACCATTGCTATTACTCCAGAGTTCTCTCTGATCCATGAAGCCTCATCACCAGTTGGTGTGATGGAAAATCACATTCACTTAACTTTTCTTCTTACACATGTCTTCCCTCCTACAGTGTTGGTCTCCACCTGTCACAAATGAATAAGGACAGTTTGGAGCAGATATGGCAGAGCCTCCCCCATCTTAGAACGATAGCAAATGCAGCACCTAATAATTTGAAATGCTATATGGCAAACTAACAAGGAGTTGACTTGGCTACAGATTTGTCTTGACCTTGGCTGGTGATTATCTTACTTTTTGATGACTTCAACAATGGTTCTAAAAAGGAGCTGATGAAAGTGGCAGGAGCACTCCTTAAGAAACACTGGAAACTGATTATGTCCTACCCCTTATGGCTCAATGAGAAGCCTCTGACTGGAATATTTCCCAGCGTAGATTCAAAGTCTATTCTGGGGAAAATGATGAGGGCTTGCAAAGACTGCGGACAAGAGATCTACAGCTTTTGTAAAATACATAAATAAATGCATGCATGTTTTCATTGGGGGTATGCATCTGCGAAATAGTGATTTTAATTTTTTTCATTCTTTTTTGCAATTAAATGTTCTTTTAATGTATCAGCAACTGTTTTTGTCATATCTAACAGGGCTATTGTATACAATGAGAATTCAAAGTGCTCTTAAATTTTAAGTCCAAAATAACTGAATTGGAAAAATTCTCCATGAAAGCTATGATTCCAGTTCGGCTACTTTGGTCAAAAACGTAGAATTTCCTTTGAATTCAATTTGAATTCTAACTTTAGTGAATAACGCGGTAAGTGTAATTGTTGCTTTTTCTTTTTGGTTAATGAATCAAAATGCCTTAAATGGTTTAACAGTTTAGCACAATGTTAATTTATACTACTAGCCCAATAAACCTTTTAAAAGGAATAAACTTTGCACTTGCAGGTTCAATAATCGTGTGCTGCTTGATACCACCTTGCATTTAGCCATTTGAGTTACATGTTGAGTTGTCATTTAATTATAGACATAAACATATGTGATTGGCTGTATCTATAAAATCATGTTTCATTTGTGAGCAAACACTACAACAAATAAAATTATTACAGTACAAATCATGTAAATATAAGTCAGATCACATTATTCAGAATAGTCATATTTATTAAAGCTTTTGAATTTGACAATTTAGTATTTGTTTATTTAAGTTTTCCATTGACAGCGGCATCGCTGGGGGGAGGAGGGGGCAGAGTAGGCCCCCCTACATCATGCTGTGCCCACCCTTGGTCCCCCCCAAATGCTGGCAACTTGCTGGCCATGTTGTTAAATTCTATTCCCTCGGACTGCAACAGTGTGTTACAGCCCGAGGGAATGCAGGAGAGAGGGGCCGGAATGGTGCTGGAGCTGTAGGGAGCACTGACAGGCTGCGCCCCCAAATGAAGCCTCGTCTCTGCCGTTAAGCAGCAGACCTTGCTGCTGTTGGAAAGGCCCAGCAACAGCCTCCAGTGAAAGGTAGGCTTGGTGTGTGTGTGTGTGTGTGGACTCAGCAGTCTGTGTATGTGTGTATGGACTCAGCAGTCTGTGTCTGTATGTGTATGAACTCAGCACTCTGTGTGTCTGTGTGTGTGTATGGACTCAGCAGTCGGTGTGTGTGTGTGTGTATGGATTCAGCAGTCTGTGTGTGTGTGTATGGACTCAGCAGTCTGTGTGTGTGTATGGACTCAGCAGTCTCTGTGTGTATGGACTCAGCAGTCTCTCTGTGTGTATGGACTCAGCAGTCTGTGTGTCTGTGTGTGTATGGACTCAGCAGTCTATGTGTCTGTGTGTGTGTGTATGGACTCAGCAGTCTGTGTGTGTATGGACTCAGTAGTCTTTGTGTATGGACTCAGCAGTCTGTGTGTGTGTGTAGGGACTCAGCAGTCTGTGTGTATGGACTCAGCAGTCTGTGTGTGTATGGACTCAGCAGTCTGTGTGTGTAAATGGACTCAGCAGTCTGTGTCTGTATGTGTATGGACTCAGCAGTCTGTGTATCTGTGTGTGTGTAAGGACTCAGCAGTCTGTGTGTGTGTGTGTATGGACGCAGCAGTCTGTGTGTGTGTATGGACTCAGCAGTCTGTATGTGTATGGACTCAACAGTCTGTGTCTGTATGTGTGTGGACTCAGCAGTCTGTGTGTCTGTGTGTCTGTGTGTGTGTAAGGACTCAGCAGTCTGTGTGTGTATGGACTCAGCAGTCTATGTGTGTGTTTATGGACTCAACAGTCTGTGTGTGTGTGTATGTGTTTATATGGACTGTGTATATGGATACAGTGCTAACTATGGCACTGTATCAATAGAAATGTGTTTGTTTTTTTAATAATCCCTGGTGGAAAATAATGAATCCTTCACCAGGGATTATAAAAAAAGAAACAAAACACATTGAATCGGGAGTGGGGTTTAACATGCGGCAGGGTCAAACTGCTGTGAGGGCGGGATTAAATGTGCCCCCCTACTTTTGTCCCTGGCCCACCATGTGCCCCCTAACAATGAATCCTAGAGACGCCACTTTCCATTGATAGTCATTACGGCCACTTTGCAGTGTATATTGTGGCATAGTGCTGACATTTATTGATGTATGATGGATACGCTACAACAGCTGTAGAATTCGGAAAAACAAAAACTTAAATTAGAGTGACCACCATGATCACATCACACAAACAGTGTTACTCAATCAACAGGATCAACTAAGAAAGAGAAGGGCTTAAGGATGGATTAAGCATAGTAGCTAACTAGATAGCAGCAGACATGAATAATAGAGGGTGGTTAGGCATTTTTATAACTGAACTATACTTAAAACCTAAAGCATCATAATCTGCTAACACATAGAGATACCCTACAGACAGACATATAGATAGAACTGTACTTTGAATAATTATGGCACATTTTATCAATCAACTGCAATAGACAGAAAGAGAGAGAGAGTGAGAGAGAGATAGATATATAGATAGATAGATAGATAGATAGATAGATAGATAGATAGACAGACAGATAGATCTACAAAATCACTTTCATCTACAAAAATACTTTGCAATTTCTGACAAATGTGACAAAGTTCAGCTGCTCATTAAGAACATCGGTGTTAGCATGGTATTGAAATGTAGAAGAATTGTCTTGTCCTTTCTCAAAAAGCTTTTTTTATTTGTCCTTGAGGCTGCGTTCTTGCCGTGACCTTAAAGATGCAAAATATAACAACATGCACAGCATGTAAAAGTATGACATAATTTATGTGTTAAAACTGTTGACAGTCATGTCACACACTAAGCATGTGACCAAATTCTTTTTTTCCTTTCATTTGTCTGAGTGAAAAGCTAGCTGAGGTCCACATTGCTATGAAAAAGAACGTAGACTGTAATAATGACATTTTGGAGGTGAATTGGAGT